TATATCGTGATAAATATTTCTGGTCATATCGCCCTGCTCTAGTGTGGATATGCACAGTTTTTTTAAAAAGGAGATGGGTTGCAAAGCGGCCTGGAGATTTGCACTAAATATAACCATGTCAAAGCATCCTAATTAGTACTACCTATATTGGCATCAACTAAGCCATTAGCTGTTAACCTCCTAGGACCTGGCGTCCACATATGTGGACATCACATTTTGGGTTGTCTAGACCAAAATCCTTAATTTTGCTCTGCAAGGGCCGGATATCCACTTATGAGGACATCATACTGCCACTGTTCTATCAAAATTTAAAGCGAATGTCCTCATATGTGGATCTTATTTTTCTAAGGAACAAAAATCAGGTAAAAAAAAAAAATCACATAACTCTTTGTTTTTACATTGCTCAGGTCCCAATCAGCCCAAATAGCAAAGAGAAATTAAAAAAGCATGCCATGACAGAGTTCGGGTCTTAGAAGGTTAAGGTCTGGGACGTCTATCTGCTAATCTGCCACAACTACTAACTGAGAGTAAATTCATGGTCAGCATGACAGTGAGCTCACTTTCAGTTTTGGAGTTCTTGAAAATGGCGGAGGGGGACAGCTTCTATCATCAGTCTGACGGCTTGTTCCCACTGGACGGGTAATTCATCCCATATAATGGGGAGCAAATTAAAACAACCGCAGCTAATGAGACTGTTCCCATTGGATGGGTATAAAACATAACTTGACAACTTGAAGAGACAAAGATTTATCGTTCGCTCCTCGAGGTTGACAGAACAGTGAAAAGCAAATCAGCAACTTGACAAAAGGGTGCGAGGACCTTAAATTAAAAAAACAAAACATATGGAGGTCATATGGGGTAGTTACTGCACACATGAAACACTAAAAAAGGACGTAGCTACTGTCTTTATTTTGATCTTAGATTTTTGAGGATTACACATGTGACAAGAGACCTAACATTAATCATCTCGTTCGTCATGAGGTGAATCGGTGGACTACTTTCTAATGAGCTACACAACAATGTCACTGAAGTGGTCTTCATTTCCCCCCGACCTAGTCCCACCCCCTTTAGTCCTCGAAACAGACACAAACAGCAGCATACACTCTACCACACACGCCCTGACTGACCTTGGTTCTTCTCCATCAGCGGCAGAGTGGTGTCATCGTAGCCCGGCTTGCCGTTCTTGGTTGCTTTAGGAGTGGCCGTCACAGTGAGCTGAGAGAGGAGAGGGAGCAGGAAGCACATCGTAACGTCATAATACAGATCAAACAGTGTCCAGTATGGAAAGATTGAACTTTCTCACCTAATGTGGGTGAACGCATAACAAGTATCAGAAATTAATTATGTTGTCTCGATGATGTAAACATGATATTGGTAACAGCTTGATTCAAGTTTGAGTCGGTGGAGATTAATAGAGATTGACAGACGACGTGATTTTCGCGCATTGCATGCCGGGAACTCGTGGCAAAACAATCCAAGTAC